TTTATTCTGTACTGCCTTAAGTGAAAAGTTACAGAAATTTAAGAGGGAGGAAAAAGTCTTTATATTATAATCTATGGTTTATCGTGAAAACCTTTATTGGGAATGGTGGCTTTTAACTGAATGGGTTGGGAGTAGAGTGAGTACTTTATTATTTTATTTTATTTTAAAACTGTATTTATTTTTGGCTGCATTGGGTCTTCGTTGCTGCGCACGGGCTTTCTCTAGTTGCGGTGAGTGGGGGCTACTCTTCGTTGCGGTGTGTGGGCTTCTCATTGCGGTGGCTTCTCTTGCTGTGGAGCACGGGCTCTAGGTATGCGGGCTTCAGTAGTTGTGGCACGCAGGCTCAGCAGTTGTGGCTCGTGGGCTCTAGAGCACAGGCTCAGTAGTTGTGGCACACGGGCTTAGTTGCTCCACAGCATGTGGGATCTTCCCGGCCCAGGGCTCAAACCCGTGTCCCCTGCATTGGCAGGTGGATTCTTAACCACTGCACCACTAGGGAAGCCCAGAGTGAGTACTTTAAATAGGGAAAATAATATTAGCAAAGACATAGTATTATGATGACATGGTGCCTCTATAAGGGAGGGCAAAGAAATTGACTTGATTAGCACATGCAAGAGAATTGTGGGTGATGTGTTATATGAGGAGAGTGGAGCATTTTGAACCCCAGTCTGAAGAAGGAGTTTGGGCTGAGTTCACACACACAGGCAGTGTGAAGCCTTTATATTCTTATAGAAAAGAGTGGAGGGAAAGGAACAGCATTTTTGTAAAATTAATCTGACAGGTAAGTGGAGTAGGGAAAGAGACTGGGGATAAGTGGATCAATAAGGAGGTTATGGTAATAATCTAAGCAGAAGGTGTCAAACCATTGTAATTACAGTAGGAATGGGTAGAAGGTAATAATAGAAGAGACCATCCAAAGGAACAGTCCCACTGGTGATTGGCTGGACATGAGGTAAAAAGGAAAGAGTCAAAATTGACCCTTAAAGTTTTGAGCCTGGAGAACTAAGAAAATGAAATGGTAGTGCTGCTTTTTACAAAAATAGGGAAGTTGAGAAGGGATACACGTCTAAGCAGGATACATGCGTTTCTGTGTGTGTTTTGGGGAGGGTGTTAAGGGCAGGACCCATCAGTCAATGTGATCTTACAAGTTGAATGTTATACTGTTTGAGGTGATAGGTGGATTGAGTGGAGAAGTCGTAGAGGCCACCGGGAATCTGAGATTGGCACTGCTCATAGAGAGGTCAGCATCAGAGGTGTGACAATGTATATTTGAAACCTAATGACAACAGCATTACGTGCCAGTGGTGTGGTATAAGAATAGAGTTCTCCAAGTGTAACCCAGAATTTCAAGTTATGCTGTTGAATGGGCAACACGGGTACAGCTATGTTCACCAAGTGAAAAGCCTGTCTTTCTTTTTTATTCTTTATTTTGAAAACTTTTTATTGAAGGATAACGTACGTACATAAATTTTCACCAATCATAAATGTACAGTTTTGCAAACTTATGATTACTAGAGTAACCAGTATACAGATCAAGTAACAGAACTATCTGAGAGGCCTCCCTCTGGTTCCCCTACCCTGTCACTATCTACTCTCAGTAATCCCCACTGACTTTTAGCACAATGGATTTGTTTTGCCTGTTTTTGAAGTTTATATAAGTGGAATATACTCTTTTATATGTGGGTTCTTTTATTCAATGTTATGTTTGTGAAATTTACTCATACCACTGAATGCAATTGTAAACTGTTCTTATTTCTATGTAGTACCCCATCGTATGAATATACTATAATTTATTTATCTATGTCCCAATGTTAATGGATATCTGCATTGTTTTTTGCTATTACAAATGACATTGCTATTAGCATTCTTGTACATGTGTTTGGGTGAATACATTTACAAATTTCTGCTGTTTGCATTTCTGCTGCTAGGAATTTCAATTCCTAGTAGTGGAACTGTAGGGTAATAAGGCATGTATATGTTCAGTTTAGTAGAAAAAAATGTTAATTTTTCCAGAGTGGTTGTGGTTACGTACACTCCCACTAGTAGTATGCGAGGGTTCTGGTCATTCCTCATCCTCCTTCACTGTAGCCATTAGGAGAGTTTATAGTATATCTATCACATTGGGACTTAAATTTTTTTTTAGTATTTATTTATTTATTTTTTGGCTGCGTTGGGTCTTAGTTGCGGCACACGGGCTCTTCGTCACGGTGCATGGGCTTCTCTCTAGTTGTGGCGCGTGGGCTTAGTTGCCCCACGGCATGTGGGATCTTAGTTCCCAACCAGGGATTGAACTGGCATCCCCTGCATTGCAAGATGTATTCTCAACCACTGGACCACCAGGGAAGTCCCGTGACTTTAATTTTTAACTAATGAGGTTGACACCTTTTCATTTGTTTATTTGTTTATCTGGATATCCTCTTTGCTGAAATGCCTGTTCAAGTCTTTCTCATGTTTTCTCATGGGTTGCCTGTTTTTACCAATCTTAAGCGTTGGTAGGAATACATTATATATTATGAATAAGAGTCCTTTGTTGGATTTACAGATGGAAAAAGAAAATCTTTTCCCACTCTGTACCTTGTCTTTTCACTCTCTTAATGATGTCATGTGATGAGCAGACGTTCTTAATTTTAATGTAGTTCAATTTACCATTTTTTCTTTATTGTTAGCAATTTTTGAGTTATAATTAAGAAATCTTTGCCTACCCACAAGGTCACTAACATACTCTCCTGAAGGATTTATTGTTCAACCTTTTGTATACTTCCACAATACACATGGAAATTGATATTTTTATGTGTGTATGGTGCAATGTAGGGATTAAGATTTATTTTTTTCTCCATACGGATATACGGTTGACCCAGCACTATTTATGTAGGAGACCATCCTTTTCCCACTGGACTTCAGTGACACCTTTGTCATAAATCAAGGTACCATATATATATGGAAAGCCTCCTTTCCTTCTAGCTCATACATATTCCAACTTAATCATTTTCTAAATTATTAAAATCTTTTTTTAACCCAAGTGATTAACTCATATGGATGAACAACCGTATAGGCTTCATATGTTGATTCATTTGTTTTCTTCCTGGCAACATATTGATTGCCTTCTAAGGTGCTCATATTGGGCCAAGCATAGCCTAGGGTATTAATAGGTGCTTGTTTGGCTAAGATTTAACTGGACATAATGCATTCTGATAAGTCCCAAGGAAGAGGCTTGGCATGATCCTGTGCAAAGAGATATGTATTACTTATAATCTCCAGATCTTTGGGGGGTGGTGTGGTGTAAAGGATGCAGGAAGGCTTCCTGGAAGAGGTGATACTTGGGGCTGTCTTGAAAAATGAATAGGAGTAGTAGGTACAAATGTGGAGGAGAGTCCACATGCAAATACACAGACAACTGGGTGAGTTTCAGAAACTGGAAGTGGTTTGTTATGGTTTGTTACATAAAGTATAAGGGGATTGGGGAGTACTAGTCTGGAGGATTATGCAAAGAATTGATTATGAAAGGACCTTATTCCAAACTCAGTGAGAGCCATTAAAGGAAAGAGGAATAATGAACTTTGCATTTCAGCAAGATCCTGACTGCTCTGTGGAGAGAGAATAGATAGAACAAAGTTGGGGATGGAGGAACACGAAGCAGGGAGACTGGTTAGAAGATGGCTGGTTAGTTGATGATAACACTGATTTAAGGAAGTGGTAGTGGCAATGGAAAACAGTGGATATATTTGGGAAATATATGGAAGGTTGAATCTAGAGGAGCTGCTGATATGTAGGAATGAGGAGCAGCAAGGAATGAAGGATGGGGCTGCTGCCTCCAGAGCCAGCCAGCCTTGGGCTTAATTCTCCTTTTTGTCATAATTTAGACCAGATTAGAAAGACCATTATGGATTTAAAGAATGGATTGGAAGCGTTTGAGATGGAAGACAAGGAGACTAATTAGGAGGCTATTGCAATCATCCAGGCTTGATGATGAAAGTCATGGGGATAGAGGGAAAGAGAGTGGTTGGAAGGAAAGTGATGGATTTGGGGGATATTTGTGAGTTTGACTTACCTGATTTGGGAATAGACTTGGTAAATTAAAAACAGAAACTTTCCTGGTGACTCAGTAGTTAGGAATCTGCCTGCCAGTGCAGGGGACACGGGTTTGAACCCTGGTCCGGGAAGATCCTACATGCTGTGGATCAGCTAAGTAACTAAGTCTGTGCGCCACAACTACTGAGCCCGCAAGCCACAACTACTGAGCCTGAGCGCCTAGAGCCCGTGCTCCGCAACATGAGAAGCCACCACAATGAGAAGCCCCCGCACCGCAACGAAGAGTAGCCCCCACTCGCTGCAACTAGAGAAAGCCCGCACGCAGCAACGAAGACCCAATGCAGCCCAAAAATTTAAATAAATAAATAACAGTAAAGGACTTCAAGAGAAAGCAGTGTCAGAAAAGGACACACAGATGCACTGGCCAAGAAGGAGAAAAAGCAGAAGACATTGATGTTGTAGAAACAAAGGAAGGACAGTGTCAGGATAGAGTGCTGAGTAACATCAAATACTGTAGAGGGGTTGTTAATAAGGACAGTAGAGTGTTCATTGGATTTAGCTACAAGGAAATAAGTATACAGCAAGGGCTTGGCCAAAAGACATAAAACATGTTTTCTGGCCCAGAGGAGTTCAAGGTACCGAGAATGGAAACTGTGTTGAGTGCTGTGAGAGAGAGGTCAGTGCAGGAGCTTTCAGACACAAAGAACCGTGTCACATTTCCCCACTTCATCCCACTATGGTGTACACTGCCTCTGCATCCTTTTGAAATGACCATACCTGTCCACCTCATGCTGCCTTCCTCATGTAGGTTTGATTGTAAATGGATAAATTCAAACAACTAAGTTTCCCTTGAATTCCACAACAAAAACACACCTCAAATTCTAAATTTAAGCAAGGAGATGAATATGATTATGCTGACATGCTGAATTTACATTTCCCTTTTTTTTTTCCTACACTTATCTTTATTTTAGGGTTCAGCACTGATCAAGGTATTGAGTGAACTGGCTCTCACTACGTATGGCCTTTAAAGACTATCTGCTGCATTCCCCTTGGCAAAATTTCAATGGTAAGGTCTAGGCAAGAATATGACCCCACACCTGAATTCAGAGCTTTATTTAAAGCGTAACATTCACTTTTTCAACCTCTGGTCAACAAATGCACTATTACTAAATAATAGCTTTTTTCTGGATAATGGTGGTTAAGAATTATCTGTGGTGATTCTGGTACCTGAGTTTCATCTATTTTGGGAAGGACGTTTATATGTAGTATAGCAGAGACAAATATTAATGAATTTCTGTTCCAGAAGTAAGACTTATAAAATAACACATTAAACACGTGTACCCTGTAATATGAAAAATATATCTCTGGTATTGTAGTGCAATGTTTTGAGGTCACTCTGATGTTCAGTCATTTACTGAAACACTGTTTTTAACAAAATATTTAGGTACTGAGATACACATTTTAATTTGTAATTTTGCTCTGGTACATTGAGGAGGTGCTTTACCCAAGTCTACTGATGGAATCTGACATTTGGAAAAAGGGGACAAAACTTGAAGAGGCTCAAAGGCATCCTGAGAAAAGAAGAAAGAGAAGGAAGTGTAAAAGACAGTAGGTAATCTCAGTTTTCCATGAAACACAATTTATAATTTAGTTGCATTTCATTAACCCAAATTACATACACTCACAAGAATGCACATTGAACTGCTTCAGTCCTGCCCCTCCTTTACCTCAAAGCAGATGGAAATTAGGTGGCAGACTGGGAAGGTTGCCATGGTGTACTGGCTACAGGGATTTAGTAGCAATCAAAAAAAAGCTCCAGAGTCCCTTCCCCCAACCATCCAAATGTGTGTTTCTCTTTTTTTCTCTCAAGTCCTTGTCTTAATTAATTCCATGTTATAGAGAAATCAGGGTGAGATTGATTTACTAGTGAGAAAAAATTTTTACTGCCTCCAAAATTGTTTATAGATGCATTGATATTGTTAGAAGTAAAATACTGATGAACTATAACTGGTCCATTTTTATGTAGAGCTAGCCACACAAAAAGTAAGAATTTAGTTTTTAAAAGTCTTATACAACATGCCCCCCATCTTTGAGACTTATATTTCTTACTGGTTTTTATCCCCCTGGATGACCTGCAGGCATCTCAAATTCAATATATCTAAGTGAAATTAGTTATTTTTCTCCATTACCCTCCTGAGTATTCTATACTCTCAATTATTCTATTCTCAATATCAGTTCATTGTCACCATCTTTCTAGTCTATCAAGCTAGATTAAAATAATAATAACTTCATATAATATTTACTATGTGTCAGGCGCTATTCTTAGCACTTTATATATATTATTAACTGATTTAAGTTAATCCCAATTAATCACTAAATTCTGTCAATTATATTTCAAAATTGTCGTAATAAATATTTGCAGGATGAACAAATGACTAATCATCTAAAGCTTGACCAATTTTATTAGCCTAAGGGCTTAGCTCAAGGGGAGGATGTGGCAGAATATTTAGGAATTGCTCTTTGAGCTTCCTCTTTAAGCATTACATGTATAAATCCATGAGCCAAAATAGTAGAAGATAACCCTTTGTAACATATTGGAATCATCCACTACACCAGTGTTTCCTAAATGTGCTGAAGTAACTAGGGTGCTAGTTAAAAATACTGATTCCAGTTCCTGCATTGAAGAGTCTGATGCAGTAGGTCTAATTCAGTAAATAGTATTCTCTTAGAATTAATAATTTACTGCTTGGAACTAAAGAGTTTTAATGCTTTGGAGTAGTGTGATTCAGTTACTTCTAAATTCTGATAACCCCCGAATAAACTGACAGAGAATTACTCTCCAGACAGTCATAATTCTGAAAGACGCAACTCCCAGTGATGTCCAGCTGCAAAAGGTTTTGGGAAACATTTCTCCATCTTCCTTTAGATTTAAAAATCAATTATGCATGTGCAGAAGAGAGGAAAGGCTGCTCAGCCTAAAAGATCATTTCTCTATTCCCCTTAAACATTGATTATGCATGTATTGAAGAGAAAGGATTAGAAAAGGCTGCAGTTTTTTTTCTTCATCTGCTTATAAGAACAGCAACCTGTTATTTAGTATACAGATTATAAGGGATGCAGAGGTTTATTCAAGGTAGCATGCCCTGAAATAAGTCCCTCCTCATGGTAAGATTGTCTCTGGATTTAGCATACTTTACTAAATAAGCTCAGTATTAATATTTTTAAATGATTTCAGTATTTTTAGGTATGTAAGAGAGACTTCACTCTCACCCTTCGTGTTACTAAGCAACGTATCATACAGTTGCCAGGAGACAGACTAGCAAGCTTGGGGGTAGTTCAGTTTTCCCTCATCACTTTGCATACCACATGACTGTACCCTAGAGAGTTTTACAGCCTTAGAGAAAAGAGAGAAAAGTTAATGGCCCATAGAGAGGATGGAAAAAGAGACCAGGATGAGGGAATAGAATAAGGAAAACAGCAAAGTATTTGAGAAGAGTGTGTGAGGTTGGACGAGGAAGGCTATTATGCAATTTCCTTAAATGAGTCATGAAAAAACCTTAAATTGCCAGTGCTCTATTTCATATTCTGTATGCTTCTATCTTTTCTAAAAGCATATTAGACAGTAAACTTGGAGAAGAGCTTTCAGGTAATATTCCTGAATATTTTCAGAAGGGTGGAAATCAATTGTAACTCTTACAGAAGACTGCCAATTACAAACACATTAAACAAGTCATACATTATTTAAAATTCCAAAGTCAGATATACAACACTATTTCCTTCCATTTCTCCCTCAAAATAGTAAAAAAAAGATAGTTCTAAGAGGGAGGTTATAATATAAATGTTCTTGGACAAATTTAGAAACAAGGTGGTTATATAGGCTCCTGGGCGGTATGTATTTCTGTACAAAATTTAACAAATCTAAATAAAGAAGGGAAAGAAGAAGCTATTGTGCTCTACCTAGAGGACTCTTGTATCTGAAATAAGAAACCAGGCTCTAGGTTTCATTGTGTGCATGTGAAAGGTTGAGTCTTTGTGTCTCTGTGGTATTTACTGTTGCTGGCAACCAGGAAGCTCCCTAGCGATTGTTGCTAGGTCCTCAGGGCCTCTGTTTGCCTGAAACCTTAATCAATGCCAGAAAGACCAGAGATAGAAATCGTTGCGCAAAATCCAGAGCCTGTTGTCCCCAATGGTCCTGCTGCAAACAGTCCATCTTGTGTTCAGTGAAAATCAGTGTAAAATGGAGACTTCACACAAAGAGTTCATCCTCAGCTCCCTCTTCACGAATGCCAGTGCTCTCAGTGCAGAGCACTAAGAGGACCCTGGAGGGATGGTTTAATAAAATAAGGTTTATATTCTGGTGTCACCAGCTTTGACTAAATACACAGTAAAGAGTCTGAGACAGGGAACACAGACAAGAAAGATTTCGTTAGATTTAGATGACTTCCTATTCTGAGGTAGGGTGGCCCCCTTAATGTTTGCTGACAGCATGACACTGTAGTGACCACAGAAGCCATGGTGCAAATGATGGCACCATTTCAAATAGGAATCCAGAAGATTCTGATAAAGATCCATGTCAGCTATATTCAGTATCTTGTAAGAATCTATATCTATCTATCTATCTCTCTCTATATATATCTGAATCACTTTGCTGTACAACTGAAACATTGTAAATCAACTATACTTCAATTAAAAAAAAAGATCCATGTCAGCATCATCCCCGGAATAACAGACGTTGTCTCTTGAAATTAAACATCAGCTCTTAGATGAACCTCGCAATCAATACAGCCCACTTACTTAAGCCATCCTGTACAGATGCAGGCTTTAAATTTTGTTTCCTGTGTAACACCTGCCCAGTCATAGACAGTTTTAGCTCTGAATTTACCTGGAAACAATTATAAATCTGGGGTGAGATTTATTATAACGCTAAGACATTATATCTACTTAAAACCAGGTATCTAGCCTCCGAAAGTAGGACTGAGAGCTACTTATTATTGTCATTATTACTAATTTTTGAGCACCTAATCAAGGTAAGGACTTTGTATGTATTATCTAACTTAATCCTTAAAATAATTCCAGGAGATAGGTACAGTTATATTCAGTTTTTTCCTCAGTTGAGGAAACTGAGGTTCAGAGAAGATAAATAATATGCCCAGGGTCTCTCACAGCTAATAAGTGGCAAAATGATAATTTAAACCTGGACCTATCCTGCTCAGCTTTTGACTCTGAACTACTATTCTATGTATTCCATTTAATAGAGAATGCTTTTCATGTGGGAATAAATTGTGTAGTACATCATTGTGTCAAGGTGAAGAGTATAGGCTCTGGTGTTCCTCTGTCCCCTTGTAGGGTAGTTGAAACTCAGAATGTCTGCTCTCTCTGTGGTTGGCTTTGCCACAATGGCTCTACCAGGACAGTCCTCCAGAACCCTGCAATTCCCCATCCTTGCATTTCCCCAAATCTAGTTTATTCCATATGTAATAACACCTAGTGGAGTCTTTAGATGGATGGTTCAGATTGGGCTCTGCAGTCCCAGTCCAGTCAACCTGGCAGTTCTTTTTCAGTGTGAGGAAGGCTTGCCTCTAGAGCCTTCCTGTACTCACCTGATCTCTTCTTCTCATTTCCTTATCTAATAAGAACAGGAGATCATTTTTAGGGGCTGTTTAGTCTGAATTCTAATTTAGAAAAGAAAGCCTTTTAAAAGAACAATCTGGATAGCTGTAACATTTTACATTATCCAGAGTGGTTTAGTGCTTTGGAGCCACATTGTCTCAAAATCTTCATTCCAGGGACCTCCCTGGCAGTCTAGTGGTTAAGACTCTGTGCTCCCAATGCAGGAGGCATGGGTTCAATCCCTGGTCAGGCAACTAAGATCCCACATGCTGCAAGGTGTGGCCAAAATTTTTTTAAATAAAAATAAAAGGAAAATATTTTTAAAAATCTTCATTCCAGAATAAATCTTGCCTTTCTCGTTGCATAACAAACTCCATTGAATTGATATTTCAAAGCAAAGAAATATTTGATGATTAAAAAATATTTTATTTAAAAAAGCTTTCATTCTTCCATACGCACTGGGCAAAAAGCTTGAAATAGTTACATGCAGGTGGTGTGCGGTGGTCTGCTTGTAAGGGCTTGTGAGAATTGATTGTATGTACCTCTTCCCAGTTCTGTATTTAGTGATCAGAATCACATTGGTAGCTTGAAATTGGTCATGAGGGAAGAATTTACACCATGGAAATTGGCCAGTGCTACAAATCGGGGCTTTTTTCCCTCTCTGAGAGCTAGTTGTTAAACATTTACTAGAAAACCGCTAAGAGAGGAGTTCTCAAAAAGCAATGCATCAGCTGTTTAACTTCAGTGAAACATAGTCAATCCTTGTGTTACTGGCATAATGTTGCTGAACTTCTCCTCTATTGTGTAAATGAAGTCCTCAGCTCAGTGATGTGTACTAGTACAAGTATTAAATGAGGGCATACAGCTTATACCCTTCAAGCATAAGACTTGGTAGAAATTATGTTCGATATTTGACACAGGGCAGGCTATGGTACCATACACATCTTGTCAGAATGTTGGGTATATCTGGGAATGTCTAAGAGTGAAAGTAAAAGCAGGTTGCAGGGACAGCATAATTTCTCATAACAGCATCTGTAGGTAGCTTTTGGATTCTGAGATGATAGCCCAAAGAGTCTTTATTGAAATCTATAGATGATAGGCCTAGTCTATAGAGGATGGGCCTATGTGTGAGAAGCCTGTGACCCAACTTAGAATGGTAACTGTTAGAAAAATGGAATTTTCTATTGCTAAATGATGTGAGAATATTTATTTCTTAATTTATTACTATGTGCCAAATATGCACATTTTACAGATGACAAAATTGAGGCACAAAATGTTTATAAGTAAGTTTCTGAAAGATACCAAGTATATATTAGAGCCAGAGTTCAAACCCAAGAAGTCCAAGTTCTAATCCTTTATAGGCCTTCTGGTATATTTTTTTATGTTAAATGTAGATCAAGATTAACATTTAGGTTTAACATAATATATAGAATACCACTAGTTCAGTGTTTTCAACCTTTGACCATCGACCCCTTGTAAAAAATACATTTTGCATTCATATTATATATCTGAAACAGAATAATACTCTTACTATGCATAATGTCATCTGGTATTTTCTACCTAAAATTCTATTCTATTTCACCTTTTAAATGCTGGCCACAATTCACTAAATTGATTTCTTGACCTACTAATGAGTAGTAAACCTACTGTTTGAAATTCACTGTACCAGATTTTTGTATATGTGGCTTCATGCCATGGCTCAGTTTACTACTGATATCTTATTTTATTTTATTTTTTTATTTTTTGCGGTACGTGGGCCTCTCACTGTTGTGGCCTCTCCTGTTGCGGAGCACAGGCTCCAGACGCGCAGGCTCAGCGGCCATGGCTCACGTGCCCAGCTGCTCCACGGCATGTGGGAACTTCCCGGACCAGGGCACGAACCCATGTCCCCTGCATCGGCAGGTGGACTCTCAACCACTGCGCCACCAGGGAATACCTGGTATCTTATTTTAAAACAGAATTTCCAGTACTCTTATTTCCTTTCCAGTTACCCTATGGTCTAGTAGCAAAGTCCCTTGAAGATGGACATATGATCTTAAAAGATCTAAGAGGTAATGAAACCTAAATGAGGCTGATGGCAGTGAAAATGGAGAGGAAGAATCCAACGTGAGAGATTTAGAAGCAGATTTTTCAGGATTTGGTAACTGATAGGACTTGAGTGTCTAGTGTCCCTCCCCAGATGGTACAACTCATAATGTCCTAAGTGTCGAGGTGGGGCAGGGAGGTGAGATATAGGGTGTGGAGTCATGGGGCAATAGCCAGATGCAGTGACCCATCAAGTTTCCAGGCAAGTAGAGCTTAGGTTACTACATTCTAAACCTGAATTGCTAAGTCCAAATGGGTGAAACAAGAGGGGAGGCAAGACCTGAAACAAACAAGATGGAAACCCAGAAGAACCCCTGCCTGCAGAAATTCTAATGATCTGAGAAGACAACAGAAGAGTGAATACTGAGGAAAAAGCAAGCAGATGATTCCTATCTGTGGGTCTGAGTGTTCCCTGAGAGTTTAAGTAAAGGAGAAGCTGGCAGGCTCAAGATGTGCTGGACACTGTCCGGGACTCAAAGATTAATACATGGTTTCACTCCTTTAGGAGCTCAAAGTCTAGTGCAGCATCTTATAAAGGAGCATCATTAAGGAAAAACTTTTACTTTTTTACCATCCCACAATGCTAGGAATAATGAATTTGTGTAGTGCCTTATAGTTTACAGAGAGCTTTCACAATTTATCTTATTTAATCCATTCAACAACCTTGTGAGATAGATATTCTCATTGTCTTCATTTTATATACATAAGAAGGCAGAAACTTAGGTCTTGAGCTTAAGTATATCTAAATTTAGGTTTCATTCTCTTTCTACTAATTCAGAGCTATTTATCAACAATAAACTGTAACCGTTAAATGAAATTTACCTGATAAACTTTCCTACCATAGAATATGTGTTGGGAAAAGAGCGTAGTTGCTAGAAGATTCTATGATTAAAAACAAATGTCTGATACCATATCACACATATTAGGATGGCTATAATAAAAAACGCAGATAATAACAAGTGCTATTGAGGATGTGGAGAAATTGGAACCTCATACATTGCTGGCGGGATTGTAAAATGGTGCAGCCACTTTGGAAAACAGTTTCGCAGTTCCTCAAAATGTTAAACACAGAGTTACCATATAACCCAGCAGTTCCACTCCTAGCTATATACCCAAGAGAAAAGAAAACAAATGGCCACACAAAAGCTAGTTCACAAATGTTCATAGCAGCATTATTTGAAATAGCGAAAAAGTGGAAACAACCCAAATGTTAATCAACTGATGAATGAACAAATAAATTGCAGTATATCCTTACTATGGAGTATTATTCAACAATAAAAAGGAATGAAGTACTTATACATGCTACAACATACATGCACTTTGAAAACATTATGCTAAGTGAAAGAAACCAGACATAAAGAGCCACATATTGTATGATTTCATTTGTATAAAATGTCCAGAATGGACAAATCCATCCATACATAAAGCAGATTGATGGTTGCCTGGGACTGGTAGGGAGAGGGGGTATGGGAAGTGGTTAGGGGAAATGGAGAGTGACTTCTAATGAATACAGAATTTCTTTGCAGGGTGATGAAAATAATCTAAAATTGATGTGACAGTGGTTGCACAACTCTGTGAATATACTTAAAACCATTAAGTTGTGCACTTTAAGTGGGTGAATTTTATGGGTTAGATATAATTGAATGGGTTGATTATATCTAAATAAAGCTTTTTTAAAAAGAAAGATGATAGCCATGAAAAAAATTATTTCCTGGTTCTCACTGAATAGGTCTAGAAATAATTACATGCTAGTAGCAAAGAGCTCCTTTAGCACCAAGATTGTAAGTTGGAAAAACTATTTCAGAACATTTAGGAGGTCAGAGAATCCTAGAATAGAATGTGATAAAGGGATCTAGCTGTATGACAAATGTATGAGCCAACCTCTCTGAAAAGCATGGGGAGAAAAGGTGCTGATTAAGTAACTTTGGAAATGAGTGGAGTCTGTATGACTAAAAGTGAACGGAGTCATACATAAGTACTATACTCTAGTCAATAAAGTTGTTTCCCACAAAGGTACAGGTTAACAATTCCGAAACCAGTGTACATCCATACTGGAACTGAACAATCAGGTAAATGGATGGAGAATGGTGAGAGCCAGATTTCTTCCTTAGTGCTGGAGTTGGAGGTTACAGACAAGCAAGAGGAGAAAACTAAAATGATCCATGTGATAATGGATTAGAGTTCAAGACATCAGTGTGAACCCATTTTTAGCTTGATATAGATACAATTGTTACATATAGAAATATTAATAAATATGTGTGTATATATACAGATTAGTATACATACATATATTTCCTTTCTCTGTCAGCTGAGAGTGCCTAGAAGCAATGACACACCCCAATATGAACAAGCACACCTATCTTGTATTTCTAATAACATTCTCTGGTAAAAGGAACCAGAGCTCCATGGAGAAATGGCTGATTCTAAGACTAGGATGATAGGGCTTCCCTGGTGGTGCAGTGGTTAAGAATCCGCCTGCCAATGCAGGGGACACGGGTTCGAGCCCTGGTCCGGGAAGATCCCACATGCCGCTAGAGCAGCTAAGGCCGTGTGCCACAGCTACTGAAGCCCACGCACCTAGAGCCCATGCTCCGCTGCGACAAGAGAAGCCTCTGCAATGAGAAGCCTGCGCACCGCAAGGAAGAGTAGCCCCCGCTCGCCGCAACCAGAGAAAGCCCATGCACAGCAACGAAGACCCAACACAGCCAAAAAAAAGAATAGGGCAAGAAATATACAAGATGATCCTGGAGCATCTTGTAGCGCCAGAAAGTAATAAAGTGCTCAAGAAACCCCATAATGATGGGGTTATGTCAAAGGGACACAGGAGTGGACCGAAAGAGCCCAATGGCCAAAGCTGGAGCAATCCGAGCACAAATAAATAAAGTAATATTGGATTAAAACCCAAGATATAAAATCAATATCTGATAATTGAATGAATAAA